ATAGAATTAAAAACCAATTAAAAACATTTACAGTTTTGCTATTTGAACTATAATATCTAATTTGATAATGATACTGAACAAAACTGAGATCTGGGCTTTAGATTGCCAGTAACTATTCTACAAAAGTATCAACCGAAAGATTCTTTTTTTTCCTAGAGTGGCAGCTATTTTTTCAGTCATAAACTGGGTTAGCAAGAAAAAATCGTTTGCAATAATGTCTTTATGATTAAACATTGAAAGGCAGCTATTACAATTATTACTGACACCACAGCCTTCAGTGATTCACAATGTTTTTAATATAAAATAAACCTCAAAACAGTCCAATTACAATAGAACATTAGAATGCTGTTCATGCAATTAACATAACAGCCTCCTAAAACACTAAACTAATGCCAGGTGAGTTTCATTTAAAACCTAGATTTGAGCTGGTATATAGAAATGTGAATGTGTGACTTAAGACAGAAAAATAAAAAGAGCAATTTTCTATTGTTATACCTCTGATCTCTGAAAGTGGGTGCAGAAGAGACACTTCATCTATCATCTGTCTTATTCTGGCCTTTCTTTCCTGCATCGCTATTTCAATTTTTACTCTCAGAAGTGCTCCAAAAATGAAAAAGGCTCAAATGCATTATCATCATATGTTACATGATCCGGTGGAAAGTTAAACCCCTTGCCAAGACTCTGTCTATTCTAATAACAAGAAAACTTCAAAATAAAGTGGAGCTGTTAAAATCTTCCCACTTAATACATTCATGTACATTTTTTTAGTCTCAGTCACTGTCTTATCTGATACATTGTTTTATACATGAACTTAAGAAGAAAGAATGTTTCTAGATTTATATTACTTTACACATTTTAAAAGAAAACACATAGGCACTTCTTGGGTTACTGGTAGTTGTGTGTGAGCTAGGTGCTGGTGCTACGTGTTTCACTGCTTGTATTAGTAACTGAGGTTTTAGCCTTTCTCAGTGACATCATAAACCACAGGAAGATGAAGAAACCTGCATGGAACAAGAAAGAGAGAGATAAGCAAATGTTTAGACTTTGTACAGGAGATACAATGAGTATGCACATTTGAAAATAAAAGCAGTAAATCTACGCTCAGTCAGGATCTGCAGGATGGAGAGGTGATTAGAGGAATGGAGATAGCTGGGGAGAACAAAACATGGCTGAGAAAAGAATCATAACAGACAAGAAAGGAAGAAGAACTCATGACAACAAACAACACAAAAACATGAATGAAATAAATACAAGGTGCTCGACACACAAGGAAGGGTACACAGAGGGTGATAGAAACTAACAAGAGGCTAAAAAAAAAACTAAAGAAAGAAAGCACTCAGGACTATAACCAGGAACAGAACGATATAGTAAAACTAGTAGGGTTCAAAATGCAGGATTAGCATAAATGACACATTATAATAACACACTTTAATAACATTGCTGCTCATTATTGACACAATTTTAACTGTTCATTTAATATTTTACACATATGCTAATATTAAACAATCTTTAATCACAAAGACAGTTGCCTCAAAGTGCTTTATATTATAAAGGCAAAGACCCTAGCATACTGTAATAGAAAGAAAACAATTGTATGACCCCCCTATGACCAAGCACTTTAGCAACAGTGGGAAGGGAAAACTCCCTTTTAAGAGGGAGAAACCTCCAAAGTAGAAGTTGATTAATATTATGAATGAGAAATGTAGTTTTAGTGAAAATGACTGTGCTAATATCTAATGTATGAAGATCAGAACTGTGTCACCAACTCGTCATTCACATAATCCTGAATCAAAAATATAGTATTACATGTCGTACCCTGAGTGAGAGACAGAGTTAATTAATTGTGAATGACCTGCCCATCTGCATAGCTTTCATGTCCCAAGAGGCAGCAACTTTGGAAATCAAAGCTTTACAATATAACACATAATCCTGGCAGGTAGCACTAATATGAGCCCAGAACTGAGCCTAACACATAAAATAGTTATACGGACCTTGAAATGAGTTCAGGATGCAGAAGAGGTAGAGGCCAACAGTGGTCAGGTAGCCAAAAGAGAAGAAGACCAGGCCCCAGGTAATGCCGAGCAGAGTCATGACTCCCAGCAGGGTACAAATGTCTTTCTTGGCTCTGTCACGGTTACTCTGCCCAAACTGATTTGCCAAATATACAATTACACAGGAGATTATATACAATTTCACACAGATAGATAAATGTGTTTGAAGAATCATTTTTACTAATCAAGGTATGTGTTGTTTTTCCTTTGTAAATAAATGACTACAAATATAATGCATTGCTCAAAATAATTAGAGGAACAACATAACAGCAACAATGGCAAAAGAACATCTCATTGGGAAAAAAATCAATGCTGAAATGGACTGGTTAATGTGTTAGACGCGAAAGGATGCCATGCTATTTGAATAAAAATAATATTATCAACCTACACAGGTCTAAATTCACAGTGAGCCCAAACAATAAACGGAAAAAGGATGCAACAGGCTGATTCGTTTTGCTGAAACTTCATTTCAGCCCCTCAAAATGGTTCTTAGTAGTTTGTAGACTCCCATGTGCTTATACGCATGTCTGGCAACATGCGAGATGTGTGTGGGGGCAGTGAATATTATCAGTTCCTTCATCCGACAGTAACGGTTTGCACACTCTCATCACATGAGGACAAAATGGTCATGTGCCAGGAGGATCCAAGGGCCCAATGCTCCAGTTTAGGGTTGACAATGGGGCCAAGGATTTCAGTTTTATTTGTCATATGCAAGTTAGCACAGGGTCAACATAGGGTCAACATTTTAATAATAAAATGTATTTGACGAGCAGCAGACAGTCCCTCAGCGACAGATAGAGATCTCTCATTCCTATAGTGTGTGTGTACACCTAATGGCAGTCAGGGTTCCTGTTGTTAATTTCATTAATACAGACGTGGACAAAATTGTTGGTACCCTTCGGTCAATGAAAGAAAAACTCACAATGGTCACAGAAATAACTAATCTGCCAAAAGTAATCAATTTAAAAAAAATCTATAAATCTTAACCAATGAATGTCAGTTATTGCTTTACAACCATGCTTCAACTGAGTTATTTAAAAAAAATAAATGGATGAAACAGGCCTGGACAAAAATGATGGTACCCACAACTTTATATTTTGTTCCACAACCTTTTGAGGCAATCACTGCAATCAAATGATTCCTGTAACTGTCAATGAGACTTCTGCACCTCTCAACAGGTATTTTGTCCCACTCCTCGTGAGCAAACTGCTCCAGTTGTTTCCAGTTTGAAGGGCACCTTTTCCAGTTTGCATGTTTCAGCTCCTTCCAAAGATGATCAATAAGATTGAGGTCAGGGCTCATAGAAGGCCACTTTAAAATAGCCATCCTTGGGTGTTTCTAGCTGTGTGTTTTGTCCCGTTGTAAGACCCATGACCTGCGACTGAGACCAAGCTTTCTGACACTGGCCAGCACATTTCTCTCCTGAAGCCAACCTTTGTGGCTTGTCAACATGTAGTTTGGCATATTCCAGCCTGGCTTTTTTATGATTTGTTTTCAACAATTGTGTCCTCCTTGGTTGTCTCCCATGTAGCCCACTTTGGCTCAAACGATGGATAGTGCGATCTGACACTGATGTTCTTTGAGCATGAAGTTCAGCTTGGTTCTCTTTAGAAGTCTTTCTGGGCTCTTTTGTTACCATTCAGGTTATCCGTCTCTTGGACTTGTCATAAATTTTCCTCCTGCGGCCACGTCAAGGGAGGTTGGCTACAGTCGCATGGATCTTGAATTTCTGAATGTCATGTGCAACTAGTCACAGGAACATCTAGCTGCTTGGAGATGGTCTTATAGTCTTTACCTTTAACATGCTTGTCTATGATTTACTTTCTAATCTCCTGAGACAACTCTTTCTTTTGCTTCCTCTGGCCCATGTTGAGTGTGGTACACACCATGTCACCAAACAACACAGTGACAACCTGGAGTCCTATATGTAGGCACACTGACTGATTACAAGATTGTAGACACCTGCGATGGTGATTAGTGGACACACCTTGGATTAACATGTCCCTTTGGTCACATCATTTTTATTCTTTCCTAGGAGTACCATAATTTTTATCCAGGCCTGTTTCATGCATTTATATGTTAAATAACTCAGTTGAGGTTGAAAAGCAATGTTTGGCTTTCATTGGTTAAGATTTATAGATTTTTTTTATTGATAATTACTTTTGGCAAATTAAAGTTATTTCTGTGACCATTGTGAGTTTTTCTTTCATTGTCCGAAGGGTACCAACAATTTTGTCGACGTCTGTATCAAAGCAGTTGAAACTGATTAAGAACATTTAATAACTTCCTTTCCTGCTTAAGTGATCAGATCAATGATTTCACAGAATTTACTTTGACTTAAACGCTAACAGAAAGCCCATCCTACAGTCTAACCTTTAAAAGGAAGCTATGCATATTAAATAAAAATTAGTAATGGTGACGAGGGATAGTCTTCATTGTTGTTGTTAAATAGACTAATTTCTTGTTGCTTTTTGAGATTTCACAGAACATATTGACATAGAAAACATCAATTTCAATAGCAACATAAAACTGCCCGTACCTCTGTGCTTTTGCGTAGAATCAAGACACGTTTGATTGTCGCTCCAAACATAAACATGTTAAAGAGGAACACCAAGCTGAACAGTCCCACTGTAGTTCCCATCTTTACATAGTTATTGGTTATATAGCATCTAAAAAAAGGGAGTGTAGGTGATCCATGTTTTAGTCTCTTACTCTGTGAAATTAAAAAGTACATTTTGTACTTCATAGAGGTGTTATTGCAGATGATTTAGATACATGTGGTTAAATATACCAGAAACTTCTCAGTATTTTAATTTTGTCAAATTAGATGCTTGGTGAAACTGGGTTTGCTGCCTAATGTTTATGTTACATTTATGACAAAGGACTACAGTGTGAACATGCCAAGATACAGAAAGTATGATGCATATTTATTTTATGAATAAATATGAATTACATTGCAGTTTTGTTGGAGCTGTCCAGAGGGACTTGGCCATAAAAGCCTCTGTCAATGATCACCACCACTGACACAATGACTGCAGGAACACCTGAAACACAAGAACTGAACAGTTATACAATATAAAGCATCTTGAGGTGACTGTTGTTGTGATTTAGCGCTATATGAATAAAATTGAATTGAATTATTCAGATGATGATGATGATGATGATGATGATGATGATGATGATGATGATGATGATGATAAACAGCTTCATGCCTAAATTATTCCACTCACCCCATCCCACCACACTGAGTTTGAGCAGGTATCTCTTGATGTAGATGTTGAAGACTTTGACTAAGAGAAGGTAGAGGTGGAATCCCTCCAAAGCCATCCAGATGAAAGTGGCTAGCAGAGAGTAGTGAAGGGCAAGAGCCATGTATAAACAGAGCCCAGTGGAGGACACTGCTGCCGCTGCTTGATTGGGCAGGAAGTGCAGGTTGAGGAGGATAAGTGCAATCACGAGGTTGATGTGAACCCTCATAGAAACATCTTCTCTGCCTTTTCTGGCAAATACAGGAGTTGTGATTCATGGTAAGTGACAACTTTCAAGCAGATTATTTGGTCATATTTTGTTTGGAAAAAAATGGAAAATCCAGTAAGGAAGAAAGAAGGAAAGAGAATAAAGACAATACAGATGAGAAACGATGGGATTAGAGGAAAAAGATTAAAATAATGCAAAAAAAGACAAAAAGGATAATTAATTGACAAAAAGTGAGGCGAGACTGATGAGAGAAAATGCTGAAGAGTTGATGGGAGCAGGAGAGGAGGATGCTATTAGAAATAGGGAGGATTAAGTTTTGAAGGATGACATCAATCAGAAAACAGATAATTACCTATTTGTGATGAAGAGAAAAACAGTGATGACGAGGGTAAAAAGAGACAGACTGCAGCCAATCAGAGTGATGTATGTTAAAATCTCCTGGTCTTTAGGTGATGGGGAAGCAGTGACCTGTGGAGAAAATGCACTTTCACATTGTTTTGCAGCATCTCCATTGTGAGTTAAAATTCAAAACAAAAAGACACACAAAGTATAAAGAGCTGATGTAGATTAGAGAAAAATTACACAGATAAGATGGGGACAAATCAATTAAACAATGAACATTGGATGAGTACAGATGGCACTAACAGAGGAATAAAGATTACAGTCATGAGTTGTAAAGTGAGCATTTGTAGCAGGAAAAGATGACTATGTGGAGATTTTTGTTTTGGCATCTAGTGGTAGTATCAGGAATGATACAGATCAAGGGCATCTTTCTATTTTGACAGAGTATCATTTTAAGCATGCAGTAATGTTAGTATCATGAAAGTCACCCCTCATTTCTTTATATTTAGCTTAAGGGCATTGAATAATATATTTGCACCAACAAACTGATTCCCAACAAGCTTTTAGCAATTACACTATTCATGTTCCTAAACTTAATCTAACTTTCAATTTATGTTTTTTTCCTATGGGTCCCAAACCATATAGTTCTGTGACCTTGATCTACAACATACAAATGAAAAGGAAAAAAGAGATTAGGATGGGTAACAGAAGTAAAGAAAGAAAAGTACTGTAATATCGTTAAAAACACTCCAGGGTTGAAATGTTGAATTTCCAAGTTTTTCAGTAAATGCTCTATAAATCATTAAAATAATCAAAGTTAGTTTAATTTAGGACGTGATTTCTTATGATGGTTAAACTTTGAATTAAGGGACTTAGGAACAGATTAAATTCAGTGAATGTCTTCCAGTGTTGGGCAAGTTACTTTGAAAAAGTAATTAATTATAGTTACTAGTTACTTCTTCAAAAAAGTAACTGAGTTACAGTTTGCCTTTAAAAACTATTTACTTTGCCTTGTTTAGTATCATCCTTTTTAGCACAACCTAACGTGTCTGAATTTAAAGTTATGTTTTCATTTTGACATACTGTATTAACACAATTGATCTACAATCAGACAAAAAACAAAATCCGAATAGAAAAAGTTATATTTTTTACTGTAACAACCACAAACATGTTTAATGAATCGTATTTCATAAATTTAAATGCAAATATAAATTGTCAATTTTAAAATCCTATGCACAAGTTTTGCAAACAAAGTTATTTGCAGCCATTTACCTTTTACCTTGATTTTTTTATAACCATTTCAAACTATTAACATAACAATGCCACACAAATTATTTGTGCCACTCCAAATATTTCTGTCCACTACAAAGGAGAACATCACAGCCTGATACCTGCAGGTCTGACAGCAGCAGGTATATCACTCCTGTTTTCTACCTAAATCATTTTTGATTGGTCAACATGGTGCATTTTCCACCAACACGAAAGGGCAGGTTTTTTTTTTTTTTGGTAATAAGCAGAGAGTGCTTGCTAGCACTGTCCTTAGACAGTAAATGTAACAAAACTATTGATGAAAAAACGCGTATATATTAGGCTGTTAGTAATGCCGTTACTTGTAATGCCGTTATTCCCATCACTGATGTCTTCACAAAGACAGAGAAACATCTGTGTTTTTATGTTTGCCTCTCCACACACACAGTGTCACTACTGGGGAAAAAGTAACACAGAACAACTTTTTACCGAAGCATGAGAAACATATAGTTAAACTATGTCAAACTCAGCATGAACGTGTTGGATTGTTAGTAACACACCTGCCAACTCTGAAGAAGATCAAAAAATGGTTGTTAAGATAAATGAAGAGAGATTTCACATTTTACTACTGAGGTGTTTGTCAATATTTTGTTGATGAAGTATCATTTAGTCTAAAGACACATAATTCTTGAATTAGACTTTTTATAATGAATATGTTGACTCCTACCAGGAGCACAGCAAAGTATGTGAGATGGTCACAGGAACAGGTGAGATGATTTTCACCACGTGTCCATAGGGTAATGCAGCCATCCTGACTGAAATCTGATAAGTCAAACAAAGAGATCAGTTATGCATAAGATGCTATTACATCCAGGTCATATCAGCGCATCTTTGTGATTTTGAGAAAAACCACAAACAACAATGACTCCGGTTTATAAAATAAATATTCATGTTAGACACTAATGATAATGTGAAGCTTGGTTACTCACTTTTTCTTGACAAGTTAAAGAAGTGGCATAAGGCGTTTTGGGTTTCCTGTGTCACAGAAATATTACATGTTAACATGTTTTTATTACACATACCTAATTTATGTGAATTTGTTGAATATAAAATGTATTTAATAATATAATGCTAACAGGCAAAAATAGAGTAAATGATAAAATTCAGAAGCAGTTACATTTATTTTCTTGGTAAGGTTGATGGTGATGTTGACACGCTGCTGTAGTCCTGATATGTTCTTGCCCTCCACACTCAGGCCAACCAGTGCTTGATCATACACTTCATATGGGGATCCTAAAATACTCTACAATAAAACACAAATTCATCAGTTGGTTTTCACAAGAAAGATTAATCTAAGCTTTGTCTATTCTGAAATACATCTACTATTATTTGCATCATATTTAAAGGTGTTGTTGATTTTTCCCTTAGGCATAAACCTTCTTACATAAAACTGCATATTAAATTGTATTTACTGTAATCACATTTTATGCATTATTGCAAAGAGCTAAAGAGCATCTATTTCTGCACAGTTGGTTGAATGTGACACATCCTGTTTTGTAAAATATTACAGCCTGTGTGAAAGCTGAACTCTTAATATCTCCATATTTAAAAACAAAATGTAAAAAAATAATGGTAAGTGGATTCGTTCTTATATAGCAATTTTTTACTCTGAATACTTAACGTGCTTTATATTCACACTTTCATTAATAATTATTTTCATTTACACTCATTAATACTCTGATGGATACATCAGAAAGCAACTTGTGGTTACTATGTGCCCAACGATATTTGGCTCACAGACTGGAGCAGACAGGGATCAAACTGCCAACCTTAGGAGGTGACCTGCTCTACCTCCTGAGCTACAGCCACTGGCCCCGTTGTGTGTTTCTTCTTATCACTAAAATTGGAGCGGCTCCCAAAGGGGTCTTTAAATTTATAAGCTCAACATTAGAAAAGTTTAGAAACTAATGCACTGTTACTCACATCATCAGCATTTTTTAAATAAATAAATGACTGCACTATTATATCACTAAATTAAACATTAAATTAATGTTCCTGTAGTGAAAATGTTGACATATTCCACGTTTTCACCACAGTTTACTTAAACATTAGCTCATTGAGTCATAAGGTATGATGTTGAAAACAAACTTATTCTGTCATGAGGGTCCTCTATCTGCATGATTTACAAAAATTTTAAAGACAAAAAAAAAAGAAAAAAACCAAAACACACTGGATATAAAATTATTTTTAAAGGCTCTATTGGTGGAGTTTTCCTTTAATCACTAAAAGCACTGTATGTGAGCTAGTGTTTGATGGGAAAATTGCTATTAAATAGTTTTAAATAATCCTGAATACACAGCATACTAAAGGATCAGTACAAAAACAGTTTCTGCACACTAACAATACAATACAGCACCTGTGAAGTTGACTGCAAGTTCATATTTAGAGTGATCATGTTACGTCTGGCATAGCAGACGTGTGGAGTTGGAGAATATGACCCAAGATGCAACTTCTGATGAGAGTGAGCTTTATTTTATAAAGTGTGTGAAAACAAACAGAAACGGCGAGGCGAGAATACAACCTAAACTGGAAAAACTAACAAAACAAACCTGAAACCAAAAACAGAGATGCAGGGAGCCACCGAGAAAAAACATGAGACGGCGGGAGATCACACAGACGAACCAGCAACACACACGAAAACACAGGGCTTAAATACACACAGGGCAATCAGGGAATGGGAAACGCAGCTGGGATTAGTTGGACATAACGAGACAAGGGGAAGCAAAACTAGAAACACTGACAAGAAGCACAGACCTTCAAAATAAAACAGGAACTCACACATGCAAAGCCACAGACTAAGAAACACGGACTTTACACAGAGGAATACACAGGAAGAAATGACTAAACACTAAACTGAGGAAGAACAGAACCAAAATACATCACAATAATAGAAAACACAAAACGCTGGGTCAAAAGACCCAGGATCATGACAGATTATGCAAAATGGAATTCTAACAGAAGTACTCCAAAAGAATTTTTAAGAACAGCATAAAAACTTTTAAAACTGAATTTCAAATTCAATTATTTTCACACTCATAATAATTTGTTGTGTTTCTCTTACTAGTATGATGTACAGAGATCAGAGCACAGTCCATTTGAATTCCTTGGTAAAATTATATGATCGTAACATGAAAATGATGACTCTGCTGCTCTACCAGTAATACTAATAACAACAATCCACTAATTTTCATATATTTTGTTAGATTATTCTGTTATTATAGGTTACCTTATATATGTAATCAAAGTAGTTGAATTGGAATACTGCTGTAGATCATATTATACCCTTTAA